TTTGATCAAGATAGCGACTTTGACCTGATGAGCTTGAGTATTCTCGCTACCTGTTTTCTGGATAATGTATGGATATGTGTGTGAGAAGTTGCATATTTACCATTTCTCAATGGTTAAGTACAGCAAACTTTTTTATTTCAAAACCTCATGAGTAACCCTTAGTTCTGCTCATTTTTCAAATTCTGCTGTTAAGTATGTTACTCTTTAATTATCAAATTACTCATTACGTGGGTTGCTTGTGGTAGACCTTGTTGAAATTTGCTTGAGTGTCATCATAGTCAGATCTAAAGTTAGCCAGTACATGCTATAGTCACGAAGTTGATAACTGTCACATATGGTACATTTTACATGCAAATATTTGTGAACTGTAATCTTGTCCTTTCTATGTTTTCTTAGCAATTCCTTCGCAACCTGTAAATTCATTATTTCTAAGTAGGGCAAGGAAGCCTATTAGGACAGAATTCACTCAAACTTAACAACACTTGTTCTGAGGAGGAAAGATACTGAGCCTTATTTTTCACAAAACCTAACGTTTGCCTAAACATCGAAACCGACTCTCGGCCGAAATTATGGTACAACAAAATAACGAAGATGCAATTCATGCAAGTGATATCTACTTTTTATCCATACGGGGCATACTTGGAGTTTTTCGTTTCTTGTGTAACAAATAAAGAAGCCTCGAATCTAAGTTATAGATGTCTGACATGCATTACACGTGAGTGACATGTATTATAGATGTCTGACATGTGTTATAGATGTCTGACATGTATTTCACATGGATGACATGTACTACACATGGATGACATGTATTACACATGAGTGGCATGTATTACACTTGGGTGACATGATGTATTACATATGGGTGACATGTATTACACATGGGTGACATGACGTATTACACATGGGTGACATGTATTACACATGAGTGACATGTATTACACATGGGTGACATGACGTATTACACATGGGTGACATGTATTACACATGAGTGACACGTATTGTAGATATCTGACATGTGGTATAGATGTCTGACATGTATTACACATGAGTGACATGTATTATAGATATCTGACATGTGTTATAGATGTCTGACATGTATTTCACATGAATGATATGTATTATAGATATGACATGTGTTATAGATATCTGACATGTATTATAGATGTCTGATATGTGTTACACATGAATGACATGTATTATAGATATCTGACATGTGTTATAGATGTCTGACATGTATTACACATGAGTGACATGTATTATAGATATGACATGTATTATAGATATGACATTTGTTATAGATGTCTGATATGTGTTACACATGAATGACACGTATTATAGATATCTGACATGTGTTATAGATGTCTGACATGTATTACACATGAGTGACATGTATTATAGATATCTGACATGTATTATAGATGTCTGACATGTATTACACATGAGTGGCATGTATTACACTTGGGTGACATGATGTATTACACATGGGTGATATGTATTACACATGAGTGACATGTATTATAGATATGACATGTGTTATAGATGTCTGACATGTATTACACATGAATGACATGTATTATAGATATGACATGTATTATAGATATATGACATGTGTTATAGATCTCTGACATTTGTTACACATGAATCACATGTATCTTAGATGTCTGACATGAGTTATAGATGTCTGACATGTTTTATGCACGAGTGACATTTGTTATGGATGTCTGACATGTATTACACATGAATGACATGTATTTTAGATATCTGACATGTGTTATAGATATCTGACATGTATTACACATGAGTGACATGTATTATAGATATCTGACGTGTTATAGATGTCTGACATATATTACACATGAATGACATGTATTATAGATATGACATGTATTATAGATATGACATGTATTATAGATATGACATGTATTATAGATATGACATTTGTTATAGATGTCTGACATGTCTTACACATGAATGACACGTATTATAGATATGACATGTGTTATAGATGTCTGACATGTATTACATGAATCACATGTATTATAGATATGACATGTGTTATGTCTGACATGTATTACACATGAATCACATGTATTTTAGATGTCTGACGTGTTATAGATATCTGACATGTATTATAGATGTCTGACATGTGTTACACATGAATGACATGTATTATAGATATCTGACATGTGTTATACATGTCTGACATGTATTTCACATGAATCACATGTATTATAGATATGACATTTCTTATAGATGTCTGACATATCTTACACATGAATGACACGTATTATAGATGTCTGACATGTGTTATAGATCTCTGACATGTGTTATAGATCTCTGACATGTATTACACATGGGTGACATGTGGTATAAATGTCTCACATGTATTACACATGAATGACATATACTACACATGTCATTATGTGACATCTTTAAAACATGTCGGACATCTATAACACATATCCCTCATGTATAAAACATGTCAGGCACATGTTTTATACACGTGTCTGACTATCATGTATAGATGTACTATACGTATTTTTGCGTGCTCTATTTTCCTTAGTTTTGTAAGTCCATATACATAACACAGATTCAAACTTTGACTCTCAGTCCACTTTAAGGATAAGTGACATTTGCAATTAATCACACAAAACACAGTGGCATACCATGTCCTACCCCCAGTCCTTGTGTATAAGTTAGATATCTGCTGTTAGACATGCATTAAGATTAGAATTGCTTCTTTTCAGTGAGTGGAGCCGTTTCCTTCACAGCTAGTGCTGGCCTCATTGTTTCTCTTGGTTTGGCTTTGTAAGTATCAGAATTACTCTTGTTTACTTTTCTAAGATAGTAACATTGTCACTGGCTTACTGTTTAGCAGAAGCAGAATCAGGATTTCTTTATTGACAATTCAAACTTTGATACACAACTTTTTTTCTTTTTGATACTTAAGCCCAAGTAATGTGTCAATCAATCAGACTGTCCTTTGGAAGTGTTAGGTTTTTCAGTCAGATAAGTCTTTATTTCAGCAAAAGTGGACAAATTTCTTTCAGGGGGTAAATCATTTTTTGCAACGTGTCTTCTCTTTTTGTTCCCCAGCGGTAGCCACGCCCTGTACAAGTATAATGCTAATACACAATTAGTTTTCTATGAACCCCTAATTTAAGGTCCAAAATAATCGTTTTCCTCAGGGTATCTAAATAATCCTGAAGCTACCGCCCGAATGGTAGATAAAGACGGATGGGCGCACATGGGTGATATTGGACATTTTGACGAAGATGGGCATTTCTTTATAGTGGACAGGTTGAAAGAACTCATCAAGTACAACGCATTACAGGCAAGGTTTCATTTCACGCTCCAACTTGCAAAATTTCCGCTATCTTCAGAGTTGGGACAACGATTAAGGTCTCAACTCCAAAAACGGAAATGACATAGGTCTACAGAAACGAACGTAAAGTGCGAGGAACTAATGGGAGGAAGGTGGAAAGAGACACGTTTTACTGTCCCTTCACCCTTTGCACGCCACTTTTTTTAGAAGAGGAACGCCTGGGTATCAGTTAGGGTGTAAATAATTTTGTTTGTAGTGAACTGTTTCTATTTTCCTTCCATAATCCCTCGCGCTTTACGTTGGTTGCTAGATTCTTTCTGCCAGCTGAAAAAAAAAGAGAGCAAAAAAGTAAAGCTTGAATGCGTTCTCTCATTAGAGTGCACCACGAATGTTGAAGTAGCTGTGTACCTATCTTTTCTATCTTCACTTGCATGTAAATGTATTTTATTTCAGTCATTGACACTAACTTTTTTTTAAGTCGCCCTGGCTGAACTGGAAGCTTTGTTGATTTCATATCAGAAACTCGACGACGCAGCCGTAATTGGTGTCCCGGATGAGGAGTCAGGAGAGCTGCCGAAGGCCTTTGTTGTTCCTAAGGGAGAAATCACTCCTGAATAAATCGAAGATTATATCGCACAAAGGGTGGCTCCCCATAAGAAACTAAGAGGCGAAGTGGAATCTATCGACAAGATTCCCAAGTCTGCAAGTGGCAAAATTTTACGAAAGGATTTAAGAAAGAGAGAATCGGAACAAACAGATAAATCGTGACATGCGGCATTTCTTAAACAGTTCCCTCCACATTTGTATATGCGGTAGTTTTTCCCACTTTTTGAGTTTTGTACTTCCAATGCAACGATTGCGGTTAACGTTTGTAAATGGTTTTATGAGCAATCATATTCTATCTCCCAAAGCTTTTTTTATAGGATTTTTATAATGATAATCACACCCTTTACAGAACTAGACGCTACAAAGCGTTAACTCGAGCTTCCTCGGGGATCTCTTTTGTACGTAATAAATAGGCGATTTT